CCCCAAAACCCCAAAACCCCAAAACCCCAAAACCCCGCCGATTGGAATTATAAAATTTGGTTAAGAGTTAATAATTTAAATTACAAACTCTTAACAAAACAAATATGGACTTGTAAAGATTGTTAGCGTAGGCACAAATGCAAGGTGCTAATAGGCAAAGAGGTCACGGAGCAGTTGAGATGCCACTTCCAGATACTGGCGAGCAAATCTACATTTCTTCGCTTGCTCTATTGAAGATGCTTAAGCACGCAAGATCAGGTATTCCATTTGAAGTCATGGGATTGATGGTTGGAGAGATTCACGATGACTACACTATCACTGTTGTTGATGTATTCTCGATGCCTTAGAAGGGAACAACTATTAGTGTCGAGTCAGTTGATCCAGTTTTCTAACAACAGTTCATGGATATGATGAAGCAGGTTGGACGTGATCAGATGTGCGTAGGATGGTATCACTCCCATCCAGGTTTCGGCCCATGGCTCTCAGGAACTGATGTTGAGACTCAAAAGTCTCAAGAAATGCTTAACCCCAGAGCTGTTGCCGTAGTCGTTGATCCAGTTTAATCAGTAAAGGGCAAGGTAGTTATTGATGCATTCAGAAGCATCGACCCATAAGTGATCATGCAAGGAATTGAACCAAGATAAACCACCTCAAATATTGGGCATATTACCAAACCAGCTCTAGTTGCCATTGCTCATGGTCTTGGCAAATACTATTACAACATTGCTCTTAACTATCGTAAGAATGAGTTTGAACAAAAGATGCTTCTTAACCTCAACAAAGTAAACTGGTCACAATCACTGAAGAATCTTGACTACAAAGAGCACCAGACAACCATAAATGACACTCTCAAGAATATGGCCAAGTTGACTGAGGATTATAACAAGTGGATTCAAGAGGAAAACAAAAAGACTCATGATGAATTCGTAGTTAGCAGTGTAGGTAAGATGAACCCAAAGAACCATCTAACCCATTAAATTGATGACACTCTTCACGAAAACGTCATGGAATGCCTTGGTACCATGCTTAACACTGTAGTATTTTGAGAGTCAACACTCACTTACATTCTTGCACTAATAATAATGTTTGTTGATTAATATAAAAATTAACAGTTCATCTGCCATTCAGCCAATTCATAAAATCGGGGTTTTGGGGTTTTGGGGGAGCTAATAGTTGTAAGTGTTTACAAAACAA